TGTCAAAAAATATAATGAGTCTCTCCTCACAACCACTCCCCAGCGCACATAGACGAATACAAATGGTTTACAAATATCACACACACACACACACACACCAATCAAAAACAGATGAATGTTTGACATTTTCTTTTTGCAACTTACTTTTTGAATCAAATTGTGTATAACATTGGAATATAAATGTAAGTTATTTGTGCTCAACAAGTGAGGTGTAAATTTCACATAGAGCATGGTGACCTCATTCTCCCCTCCCCCAATTAAAGCGCTCATTGATGCATTCCAGCATTGCTGCTAAGACTTTCTGGCAATGCAAAACCTGGCATAAACACAAACTGGACTTGAAAAGGCATTGAGAAATCACAGTGTTCAAAAAGAAAAGCTCTGTTGCCAAAGATAAAATCTACCATTCTTCATTTCTTTCATTAAGTAAAATCTCTTTATTTTATTTTTATTTTCAACTTGCATAGAGAATGTTGAAAAGACTCCTATTACTACATCTCCACAGAAAATTTGGAACTCAGGATCACAATTCAGATTTTATAAGCCAAATATTAATATGAAGCCAGAGAGAGTGAGGACGAAAGAGATCGACAAATCTGAGATGATTGAGGCTGTACCAATCTGAAGAGCACAGCCTCATTAAGCTCTTGTTGAGCTGCCTCCCAACAGGCAGCTGGCCAAAACAGCAGCCCAATCAGAGATGTGGAGGAAACATCAGTCACAGGAGGTTATAGACAGCATCCTTGGGGATGGTTCCAAGTCAGCATTTGTCCTAAGCTGTGTTGAGGAAGCTGAGGAAACAGCAGTGATCAGCATGGCTGCTGAGAGGTTTGAGGTTGGTAGGACTGAAAGAGTGAGGAAGCTAAAGATTGAGAGCTGTGGAAACCAAAGACTTCCTTGATGGGGTTGTGATGAGCTCGAACACCATTCGTGGCCTTCAAGGAGCACTTAAAAGAAATGTTTTCTTGGGAAGCGTGCAATTCCTATCTTAAAGCAGTTGCCAAGGATCTCAGAAATCAGGTTGTTTCCTAAATTGGTTAATCTTAGTCATGTAACAAAAAAAAACAAACAGTCCAATGAATTAACATCCAGTCAGTCCACTCTCAAACAGTGGCAGTTTTGGAAGGTGCCACCAACAGTGCTTTAAAGCAGCTCTTGCTCAGTTGAGTTTTGCAAGGGCCAGTAACCTCCTAATCTTATGATTGCCCTTGACGTCAAGGTAACATTTGACTGAGTACAGCATTAATCAGCCTGAGTAAAATTGGAGTCAGTGGGGATTTGGGGAAAACACCTTGCTTTTAGGAGTAATACCTACCACACAGAATTATATATTGGCTTTTGGAGGTTACTCATCTCATTCTCAGAATGCGACAACATGAGTTCCTCAGGTAATGTCCAAGGCTCAACCGCCTTCAGCTACTTGTTTAAAGACCTTCTTTTCAACATGAGATCAGAAGTGGGGAAGTTCATTGATGATTGCATAATGTTTAGCATTATACATAATGCCTTAGATACTGAAGCAATCCATGTCCATATGCAGCAAGACCTGATATTCTTCAGAATATCCATACTTGGACCAATAAAGTGGAAAGTAGCATTTGTGTCACGCAAGTGCCAGACACCGACTATTCTCGAGAAGAGGAAATCTCACCATCTTCCTTTCTAATTCAGTGATATTACCTTCATTAATACCCCACTATCAACATCCTGGGGGTTGTTATTGACTAGAAACTGAACTAGCTCAGCTATATAAATGCTACAGCTACGAGAGCAGGTCAGAGGCTGGGAATTCTGCAGTCAGTAACTTACCCCGGCACTCTAAGCCAGGAGTATGATGCAATATTCTCCACTTACAGCTCCAACAACACTCAAGAAGTTCAACACCAACCAGAGCAAAGTAGCCCGCTTAATTAGGATCTACCACCTTCAATATTGACTCCTTTCACCACTGATGTATAATGGGAGCAGTGTACCATGTACAAAATGTACTTTACCATCTTACCAAGGGTACTTCAATATCAACTTCTAAAGCTACAACTCCTACCGCCCGTAAGGACGAGGACAGCAGGTGCTTGGGAATGCAACCACATAGAAGCACTTCTTGAAATGATGTACTCTCCTGATTTGGAGATATATCAACATTCGTTTATTGTCACTGGGTCAAAATCCTGGAATTTACTTCCTCACAGCTCTACAAACTGCAGTGTTTCAAGCAGGGAGCTCATTGTTGCTTCCTCAAGGCCATTTAGTGTCGAGCAATAAATGTTGGTCTAGCCAGTAATGGCCAAATCCTTTGAATGAATTGTTATAATCTAGTAGACCCAGTTGTCATCACAGTTGATGTTCACACCAGACTAGTCAGTTCCCTGACAGGAACCTGACTGGATAGATCATAAATTTTCTGTTTATTCTTTTCTCACTGAAGAGATCTTTTACTAAAACATACGAGCACAATGTCTTTGTTTTAAGAGTGAAATAAAAAAGAAAGTTTGACAACTAAAATAAGGACAGACAAGAAAAAAGAACCCTTATTGCCTTATAACTCAAGATTCAAGGAATTTTAAACACACAGTGGAAATCACCCAAGCACTGTTTGTAGATTGAACAGAAACAACAGCTCTGTATCTGAATCAATACACCATGGTACGGTTCACAAACATTATTAGAATGCTAATAACATCTAGTGATATATTTCTAGCAAGACATAGTTCTGCTCATTTCCAAGATTCTTCTCTCTTTGTTTTAATACTTTGATGGGCTTAAAGTAATTAAGATTTCAACTCATCTGCTCAAACTGTAGATAACTCATAATAAGTATTCTTTTTCTTATTGTATTAATTGGTTCGCTTCCTTCCAGTGTTTTCTTCTAACAAAAAAAATTCAGAAAAACTTATCTTCACTCCTTTTAGACTGACTGTCTCCTAATCCTGCAGTCTGGGGTTCATAATGATTTATTAATCTAAAATTGTTTCATTGCTTTACATTTTTTCTTAGGAGTGCTGCTTGGCACATGTTACTCCATCAAAAGATTTCTCAGTACTTTGGAGGTCGATATTTGCTTCTCTCTCAAATGATTTCCCAACACAGACTAAAAAATAAAATTCAAAATCTGGAACAGAATTCACCAGAGAAACTCAGCAGGTCCTGCAGCATCTGTAAAGAGAAAGAACAGTTAACGTTTCGGGTCCGGTCACCCTTATTCAGAACTGATTGTACCAAAAAAAAACAGTTGGTATATATGCTGAAGGCAAGGATGGGGGTGAGGGGTGTTGGGGGGAGTTGAGGGAGGAACAAATGATAGGTAGGGATGGAGCTCAGAGAGAAAACAGCAGTTGGCTATTACCCATTCCTTTGTCTGCTCAACCGTTGTTCTGTCTGTGGGCTCCATCTCCACCTAGTTTTATTCTCTCCCACACCATCTTCAGCGTATAAACCAATCTGTTCGTCGTTACAATCAGTTCTGAAGAAGGGTCACTGGACTCAGAAAGTTGACTCTGCTTTCTCTCCATAGCTGCTGCTGGTATGTTGAGTTTTTACAGCAATTTTTGTTTTTGTTTTTGATTTCCAACATCCACAGTTCTTTGGGGTTTGTTTTGTTCAGAATCTGAAATGTTCTCCCACTAAGCCTTCTGGAAGCTTCCCAAGGAACTCTAGGTAAATTCCTCTAACTTGGAGTTATGGGTATTATAGGTTTTTAAAGCTAATTGTTAACTGCAAACATACCCTTATGTTTAAGTTAGAACTCCAAGAACCCAAACCTATAATAAATACTATTAAAATGCCCCACCCACACCTGCAAACTGAGACTTTGTGTGAAATTATTTCTTACCTTTACCCTGGCTCTAGTTGTTAGGTTATGGCCCTCGTCTTAGAGTTCGGTTGGTAAAATAACTTTTTCTCTGTATACCCTAACAGTACCCCGTTATAATATGAAAGCTTTGCTCAAATGATCTCATAATGTTTTAAAATCCAAATGATACGCATCTTAATCTCTGCTTTAGAGTACAAATACCACCCTGTTGCTAAGTACATGTTGCACTCCATCTAAGGTGAGTGGTACCTAGGACTGAAAATAATGTCCCAGTTGTGATCTATAGTTTCATAGAACTATATAACTTTGCATTACAACTCTCCAGATATAAAACTCAGTATTCCATTAGCTCATTTGATTAATTATGGCCAATGACAATTTAACGATTACATGGACCCTGAAATATTTTTAGAAGATCACTACTTCTAGCTTTTCTGTTTTTAGGAAGACAAAACAATGTGTAGTGATGGCATGACTAGACTAGTAATCTAGAGACTCAGACTAATAATCTAAGGATGTGAGTTCAAATCCTGCTATGATAGAGGGTGGAATTTGAATTAAATTAATAAACCTTGAATTGAAAATGTGTCTCAGTAATGCTGTCCATGAAAGTAGCATTGATTGTGATAAAAGTCCATTTGGTTCATTAATGTTCTTTTAAGGAAGGAAATCTACTGTCTATATGTGACTTGAGACTCATGGTAATGTGGTTGACTCTTATCTGAACTGCTGTCTGAAGTGGCCAAGCAAGTCACTCAGTTCAAGGGCAATTAGGGATGGGTAACAAATGCTAATCTTCCCAGTGACATTCATACCAAGTGAAAGAAAGCACTTGTCTTTTTCTATTCTTGAGGACCTATACCGCATACTTTTAAGAAGTCCACATAGGTAGCAATGATTTACAGTTACTCTCCATATGGTAACTTGTACAAGACAGCATTGCTTGTTGAGTCAAGTGACTGGTAACTCCCAGATTGCATTTCATGTGACCATCTACGTGGAGCAGAAACTGCTTAATAAAAACAGTACATTTGCAATACAAATATGCCTGAAAACATGATCCTGTTCATTGTAATTTAACTTCCCGTTAAAGATTTTATGATTACATTAAATCAAAAGACATTTTATACTTTAAACACTGTAAATTTAAGTGAATTTAAAAATTGTTTTTTTTTCCTCTCTCTTACAGATACTGCTACTGTGAAATGTTGATGAACTTCAATTCCACAAAAATGTTGACCTGGATTCTTGTTCTAAGTGCAGTTTTAGTTTCAATCGATTCCCAGAAGGCAGATCCTTCTGATAAAGAAGTGTGTGAGAATCTTTGCTCCTGTGAAGAGAGAGATGGTTTGCTGCACATAAACTGTCAAAACAGAGACATTACTGAAATATCCCAAATAAAGCCACCCCAGACATGTACCTATAATCTTAACCTACAGGAAAACTTTGTGACCACATTATATCGTGATGGCTTTCTCAACTTTAAGAATGCTTTGTCATTACATCTGGGCAAAAATAATTTGCAAGACCTGGAAGCTGGGATTTTCACTGGCCTTAGTTCTTTGAAACGCTTACATATAAATGGCAATTACTTGGAAGTGCTACGAGAGGGCACATTTCGAGGATTGGAATATTTGGAATTCCTTCAGGCAGACAATAATTTAATCCACATTATTGAGCCTGGCGCATTCAGCAAACTGCACCGGTTAAAAGTGCTAATCCTGAACGACAATGCAATCTCTTTTCTGCCCACCAACATCTTCCGCTTTGTGCCTTTGACCCATCTGGACCTTCGTGGAAATCAGTTAGATTCACTTCCTTATGTTGGTCTGCTGGAGCACATTGGCAGAATAATGGAACTTCAGCTGGAAGATAATCCATGGAAATGCGACTGTGATTTATTGCCACTCAGATCGTGGCTGGAAAACATGCCTCCTCAATCTAATATTGGCAATGTTGTTTGTATGCACCCATTTCGACTGAAAGGCAAGGTTTTAACTAAAACATCCATCATTGAGATTTGCCCAATGGGGTCTGGTACTGACTTTGAAGAGCCCATAAATTCAATCCATTTGGTGGTAACTCCAGCTGCTGATAACACTCACATCAATATTCACAATGCAAATAAGTCAGTTATTAAAGAACCTAAAAAGGATCCATTTATTCCACTGCCTGATGGACAGGATGATGGTAAAATTCTTATATCAGAGCCTGGATCACATCCAAAATCACCCTGCACAACAACTTGTCATTGCAGCACACAACCAAATGTTGGACAGATAATGAAATGTCAAGGAAGAAACATTAAGAGTTTAACGGACCTTGTGCCTAGTCCCCCAAATCCAGTAAAGCTTTATCTGACTGATAACATCATCCAGTCTGTGGCAAAGTATGATCTTCTAGAATATGGCAGCTTGGATTTACTACATTTAGGCAACAACCGAATAACACTAATCGAGGATGGTGCTTTTGCCAACCTCACCAATCTCCACAAGATATATTTGAATGGGAATGGTATTGTAAGATTAACAAAAGAAATGTTCATTGGGCTCCAGTGCCTCCAGTACTTGTATCTGGAACACAATACAATTAAAGAGATATTACCAGGGACATTCAGTGTCCTACCACAGCTCAAGGTCTTATATTTGAATAATAACCTCCTTCATAGCTTTCCTCCACATATATTTTCTGGCGTTCCACTTTTACGGCTAAATCTTAAACATAACCATTTTATGCATCTTCCTGTGAGCAATGTGATTGATCAACTCGAGTTTCTAGTTCAAATTGATCTAGAAGATAATCCATGGGATTGTACTTGTGACTTGGTAAGCTTGAAGCAATGGATGGAAAAACTTAGTAAAAATGTAACTGTGAGTGAGATCATGTGTGAATCTCCTGAGAAGTTCGCCAAGAAAGATTTGAAAATGTTAAATAATGAATTGATATGTCCTGGATTAATAAATGTCCTGGTTGCGCCAACACAGTCAAATGATATCAACCTAGTCACAGTAGCCACAAGTACAGCCTCCAGCCTTTTGAATTCTATCATGGACACAGTGCCACTTTCTGTTTTGATCCTTAGCATGTTGGCGGTATTCATTTTGATTGTATTTAGTGCAGCCGGAATAGTGGTCCTTGTGCTCCATCGTCGGAGGAGATCAAAAAAGAAACAAAAAACTACTCCAGTGCAGGACTGCAGTCCATTGCATGTTCAGTACAGTGTATATGGACACAAGAGGACCCACCATACAGAAGAAAGACCAGATGGAAATGTATACGAGCAGCATACAATTAATGCAATTGGTCCAGTGTGCAGAAGCCGTCCTTACAACATTAGAGATATAGAGCTAGAAAATGAAAACAAAGATGGAATTGAACCGAAAATGATATACAGGAGTCACATGATGAGAGAAAATAATTCTATGCTCACAGGTTCCAAATTCAGTGTAATGGAGCAGACCCCAGAGTTTATACCCCTCTGTGATCCTGGTTCAATGTATAGAAATATGCTTGAGAAAGAAAGGGAGCTTCAACAAATTGGAATCACTGAATATTTGAAGAAAAATATCCCACCTCTACAATCAGAACTCGATGTTCGTTATCCATCAAGACATGAAGAGCTGAAACTGATGGAAGCGATCATGTATTCGAGACCTAAAAAGGTTGTGGTGGAAGAGACAAAAAATGAGTATTTTGAGCTGAAAGCAAAACTACAGGCTGAGCCTGACTACCTAGAGGTACTGGAACAACAGACTGCATTAAACCAACCATGACTTCTGGAAGGACATTAACATTTTTATCATGGTTATTACATTGTGATAAATGAGCTCATTTGCTATTCCAAGACATTAGTGCCTTTACAGATGGTTCTCTTTTTTTCTACACAAAATACAGCAGTAATCCTTATTAATCTCAGGGATCGATAGACAAACCATTGGGAACAGCCATTGAGAATGCAGATACCTGTGCAGTAACTGTCAGCAGTGTTTGTTTCACAGTATGCAGAGACTGTGTGCAGTAGTCAAGCACAAAGCTTTATAAAGCGACAGGACGATCATTTTGTAGTTGTAAAGACAATCCTATTAATATAGACTAAAAATGTTATGATGTGAGCCAATGGTGGTTAAAAGAGGTAACCTGAAGGTGTGATTACTGCTTGTATGCACATTTAATGGGAGCCTTATTTTCAAGGCTACTGATTTGCAGTTTTCGTGAAAAAAGTGGACATGAAATCATGGAACTGGATCCCCAAAACAACAGTAATAATTGCATGTAACAAAACAAAATTTGACTTATTCAGTCAATGTAAACAAGCAACTTTGCTTAATTTCGTTTTAGTTAATGTATATTCTGACAGTCTTCTGTTACAATTTCATTGTCTGATATTGGGGTGTGTTACATGAGTTCTGACAATCCAATCTTCTGATGCTGCTGGACTTTAATTTACATTCTAGAGAATAGTTTGTACTTGAAAATCTGCAAGTCTGTAATATCTACTGTATGAAGCAGACACAGAGCTGGCTGCACACTGTATTTAGACTGTATCATGTTCCTCTTTGTGAAGTTTCTCTTCCATCATTTATATCATTGGGCATTCACAGGTCCTCCAAGCCTGGGACTCCATTCACTGCTTTTTATTTTGAGAGAAATTTAAAGAAAATAAGTTGTTCTTTTCATTTGCAAATCTTCAAACCACTCAAAGGTTAAAAGCTGATACATGTAGGGTAAAAACAAGAAGCACACAAAGACCAAAATGCTGAAGGATGCAATTTGTTTCATATACTATATTGAACTCTGCAAGATATTTTTTAAGTTACAAAAATGTAAGATTCTGTAAGCTATTTATTCTGTACAGTTTTGCAAATAAATCAGGGGTGCCTTTCTTGTAAATAAAAATGCGCACTGAACTTCTAGTTGAAATAAAGTCAGGATGAAATAAGCCGTTCCTTTATCATGTCTTTCCATTCTGCCTCACTGCTGCAATGAAGCTAACTTATTCCTGCTCTCCATGTCAGCTTGGTCTATACTAGGAATTCCCCCAGCACTGCAACTGCTCACATCTCACCAACCATCTTTACTAGTTCCAGTAGTGTTTCCAGTGCAATTCTGGTACAGTTACAATGACTGTAATGGGAGGAGCTCAATGGTAACATTCAACGTTTTTATCCTATAGTCCCGACCATTTTCACCGTCCACAGTTTATCGTAGTGGGCAGCCCACATCAAGCCTTTAACTTTGCGCACATCATTACTTGTTTGGCTTACTTAAGTCATTCACGCAGCTTTAATCGGCTGTTTGCATTGTAATTAATTGTGGGAAGGTGTGGAATTGTTGTAGATGCACCATAGAAAGCATCCTATCTGGATGCTTCACAGCTTGGTGTGGTAACTGTTCTGCCCAAGACTGCAAGAATTACAGGGAATTGTGAATGCAGCAATGTCCATCACAAAAACCAGCCTTCCTTCCATTGACTCCGTTGACGCCTCCTGCTACCTCAGGAAAGCAGCCAACATAATCAAAGATCCCTCCCACTCTGGTTATATGCTCTTACACTCTCTTCCATGAGATATAAAAGTTTGAAAACATGTATCAACAGTTTCGAGAAGAGCTTCTTCCCCTCTGTTATCAGACTTATAAATGGACCTCTCATATATTAAATTTGATCTTTTTCTGCACCTTCTCTGTAGCTGTAGCACTATATTCTTTATTCTATTCAATTACCCTGATGAACATCTCCAAGAAGCTCTCCATGCCCTGACCATCCTAATGTGTATATCAATTCCTTCATTGCTGGAGGTCAAAATCCTGAATTTCCTTCCTAATTTATTATGATAGTACCTTCACCACGTGAGCTACTGTGCTTCAAGAAGAATTTAGTCACCAATTTCTTTAGGAGCAATAAGAATCAATTAATGTTACCTTGTCAACACCGTCCATATGTGGAAAATGAAAACATTGAATGTACATATTGAAAATAAATATAGAATAAATACAGAGAATGCAAATATAGCTTAACAAACAAAATTTAACTTAGGGGCGGCATGGTGGCTCAGTGGCTCAGTGGTTAGCACTGCAGCCTCATAGCACCAGGGACCTGGGTTCAATTCCACCCTTGGGTGACTGTGTGGAGTTTATACATTCTCCCTGTGCCTGTGTGAGTTTCCTCTGGGTGCTCCAGTTTCCTCCCACAGTCCAAAGATGTGCAGGTGGATTGGCCATGCTAAATTGCCCATAGTGTTCAGGGATGTGTAGATTAGGTGGGTTATAGAGGATGGGTCTGGGGGGGATGCTATGAGGGTCAGTGTGGACTTGTTGGGCCAAAGGGCCTGTTTCCACACTGTAGGGATTCTGTGATTTGCGATTAACAATCGAGAGGGAGGAAAATGGGATCAAGAATTATGGGATCTTACAGTTCAGGTTAGGGGAGGCAATGGTATTATTGATGGGCTTTTAACCCAGAGACTCAGATAATGTTCTGGGGACCTGAGCTCAAATCCTGCCACAGCAGATCTTTGAATTCAAGAAATATCAGGAATTAAAGAGTCTAATAATGACTATGAATCCACTGTTGATTATTGGGAAAAACCCATCTGGCTCACTAACGTCCTTTAGGGAAGGAAACTGCCATCCTTACTCAGTCTGGCCTACATGTGAGTCCAAACCCATAGCAATGTGGTTGACTCTTAACTGCCCTCTGAGCAATTAGGGATGGGCAATTAATGCTGCTCTCATCCTGTGAAGGAGTTTTTACAAAATCTGGCATAAAAAAAAACATGAAGTTGTCACATTATCATAAATTTTAAGAAATCCTTCAGGTTCAGGCATGTCCTTTAGGGAAGGATCCTTTTTTATTCTGGCCTGTATTCTGGTACCAAACCGAAGTGATTGATTTTTTGACTGCTCTCTGAAATGGTCTAGCAATGCACTCAATGAAATCAAAGAACACAAAACCCACCAACACATTAACAGAAGAGTTTGGAATGGGTAATAAATGCTGGCTGTATCAATGATGCCTATATCCTCCAAGTGAATTTTAAAACTACACTTTTTCAAAAATAGAACTTTAAATGGAGGGAACTTTAAAATATAAATGGTACTCTAGGTTTTAAACTTAGGAAGACCAGATATGAAAGTAAGTAGTTCATATTTAAATCATGGTACTCAAAGTGTGCAGTATTGATTTACTATAATAACCAGCCATGAGAGGGCATATTTAGAATAAAATAATTAATAAGTGAGAATAATAATATCCAGTAGAGTAGGGATGGCTATGGTTAAGAAAAGCTAAAATACAAATGTTCAGACTTTGGGATACACTAAAACATTGTTTGCATTTTCTGGGACCTGGAATTGAGGAACCAACCAATATAAGTTAGCATAAGCACATAAGACATATTAGAACATAAGAGCTTGTTTTGCACGTGGCTACTAAACCAAAGTCAACTTTGATATTGGAGAGTGAGAATTCAATAAGCACTTGAAGGGTAAAATATATGTCCAAATAGCAATAAGTGGATTAGACCAGATGCCTCTGATATGGAACTAGCATTAGCATCAGCACAATGAGACAGATGTTGACATTCTTATAATATTTGCAAAAGCATGAAAGTTTCAATGTTCTTCATTCCTCCATATACTCCAAACTTTTTTTTTAAATATCAAAAATATTTTCTTATCTAATTGAGTTGTGATATGACTTTTGTGTGATATCTATATTGTGTTGTGACCTCACTCACCAACCTCATGGTTACCAAGCCAACAGACCTGTTTGGCAGGTTCAGTGAGATTTTCAGACAAAATGACAGGACTGCTAATAAAAACAGAAAGTGTTGGAGAAACTCAGCAGGTCTGGCAACATCTGTGGAGGGAAAAACAGGATGAGCATATCAAGTCAAAATGACGATTCTTCGGAATGTTTTTATTCAATGAAAATGTCAGTAACCACAATCAAAATGTTTGAAAACTCGTTGGACTGGTTCTTTTTTTTTGGCTGTCAGTCGCATCAAGTTTCATGGATGGTTTCTTTCTGAGAAGCCCAGTGAGACCTTGTGCTGTATTTTACCAAACACGCCTCATTAATTACTTACCCTATGATCCCTATCGTAGAATCACAGTGCCACCTTCTCCTTAGAATCATAGAGTCTTACAGCACAGAAACTGGCCCTTTGGCCCATCATGTCAATGCTGACCAATAAACACCAAACTACACTAATCCTTTTTACCTGCAGTTGGCCAATAGCCTACTATGACCTGACGTTTTAAGCACTCATCAAGATTCTTCTTAAATGTTGTGAGAGTACATACCTCCACCAACCCCTTAGGCAATATGTTCCATATATCTGATACACTCTGGAGGAAAAAATGTTTTCTCAGATCTCTTCTAAACCACTTACGCCTCACCTTAAACATATGGCCTCAGGTCTTAGACATATCTGCCGCAGGAGGGAATGAATTATCATGATCTACTCTGTCTATGTCCCTCATAAATTTGTATGCCTCAAGGAAAACAAACCCAGGCTATCCAATCTCTGGAGACTTTTCACCCCAAACAACATGTTGATGAATCTCCTCTGCTTCCTCTCCAGTGTGATCACATCCTTCTGATAGTGTGGCATCGGAACTGCACACAGTATTCCATCTGTGGCCTAACCAATGTTCTATAAAGTTTCGACAAGGCTTCTTTCCTCCTATATTCTACACCCTATCTAATGAAGGCAAGTATCCTATATACCTTTTTCACCACCCGTCTCAGGAATCTATGGACTAAAGTCCCTTTGTTCCACAGTTCTCCCCAGAGACCTTCCATTCATTGGGCCTATCCTTCACTATTAGACCTCTCAAAATGCGTCACCTCACACTTATTGGGATTAAATTCCATCTGCCATTGCTCTGCCCAATTTACGAAATGATCAGTATCAGATTATAGCCTCAGACCATCCTCCTCACAATCAACAACATCCCCAAAGTCCATGTGATCTACAAATTTACTCATTAAATCTTCTATATTCACATCTAAGTCATTTAATGTACATAACAAATAACAAGCACTCCAGCACCATTCCCTGAGTAACACCACAGGTCAGAGCCTTCCAAATACAAAAACAACCCTCCATCATCAACCTATGCCCTCTATTTAAAGCCAATTTTGGTTCTAGTTTGCCAACTTGCCCTGGACCCCATGGGCTCTTAACTTCTCAACCAGCCTTCCAATGGGACTTTGTCAAAGGCCTTATTGAAGTCTATGTAATTCATGTAACTGCACTCACTACCTTTTCAAAAATCTCAATTCAATTAGACAGGATCTCCCTGTAACAAATTTGTGCTGACTATACCTGATCAATCCCTGCCTTTCCAAATATTGATTAATCGTGTCATTCAGAACTTTTTTCCAACAATTTCCCTACCACTGACATTAGGTGAACTGGTCTGTAATTAACTGGCCTATCCCTGCTGCCCTTCTTGAACAAAGAAACTACATTAGCTATCCTCCAATCATGTGGCATTTCATCTGTGGCTAGTGAAGTATTCAATGTGTCTGCCACGGCCCCAGCAAACTGCTCCATCCCTTCCCATAGGAGCCTTAGATCCATCTCATCAGATCCTGTGGAATAATGCATCTGCAACTCTATGCCTGATAAAACATCTAATACTTCCTCTTTATTAATCTTAACGTTCTCAAATCTCACCATCTGACTTATGTCCTGTCTACAATGTTCTTCTCCTCTGTGAGTACATTTATTTAATACCTCACCTTTGGCCATTGGCTCCAGGCATGATTGTCCCTTTGGTCTCTAATAAATCCTACTCTTTCCCTCAATATACTTATGAAAAACCTTGAGTTTTCTTTGACTTCATCTGCCAAAGATATTTCACGGCCCCTCTTTGCCCTCCCAATTTGCTTTATAAGCAACCTCCCAATTTCCTTTTTAAGCAACCTCC